AGAAAAAAGATGGGGGGGGGGGGGGGGGGAAGTGCTTCAGAAGCGTGCGAGACCCTCCAAGGTTCTGTTTCCTGATGTAATTTCTTTCCTTATGATAGAGCAACCTTATTACATAAAACTTAACTTCTCAGTTACAAATTATCTGATTTAAATAACAGCACATAAGAATTTCACATATGGTGATATCAAGGGAAGCCTAGCAACATAACGAGTAATGTTTATTGTTTACTTGCAGACCATAAATTACTTTTGTTCAATCATCAGAGCAAAACTCTATTCCACTATTTTTAAAGAGGCCGAGATAACAAAAAAAGGCAAAAAAGACTAGTCAGAGGGTCGGCTATTCTCTAAGCTTTTGGACTTAGTTTGAAGTCAATTAAAGGGGAACATATATTCCACTGCCATCTTTCCAATTAAAAACACGGTTAGTGAAACTCTACGGTCCACCAGAAAGGTTCTTCTATGCTAAGATATGCACAAGATTGTATACTATATCCTTCTTCCAATACGTAAATAAGTTCCTGTCGAAATGTTTTAATATGGCATCTGAAGGACATGAATGTGACAAACAGCATATACTCAGCAGTATTGATCCTTGACCAGATAAAGTAAAAGCTTGTACCCCTAATCTCTCACACTAAAGAAGAGTACAATCAGCATCTGATACTTCTTATAAGCAATCATAAAAATGTGGGGAACAGGATATAGCAGCAACTTGAAGGAATTTTCTGATTTGGACACACACAACACACCAAAAAGGCAAGGCAATTCCTATTTTTCAAGTGTTCTAGGCTACCGAAGCCATTCCAACTCCTTGGCACATACATAATAATATATTTAACTCATCAACTCACATTGGCTAATCATCCGTTCTCTGTGCAACTTTTGTCTATTTCAAAATTAAACAGAATAACTTTATACTTAACACAGGATGTACAAACAAGAACAGTGGCCGTCGTGGCTAAGAAATATATTTATAATAGACAAGAGACTCGTAACATGTATCATGTTCTCAACTCACTGAATATGCATATTTGTATACCAAGTAACTGAGATAAATTTTACATAAAAGAAAGCTAACCTTTCTGAATCTGGGAAGTGGAAATGGTTTGAAGATAAAAGCTTCTTGTCCTCTTCTCTAAATGTCTTTCCCTCTGATTGCATGATAACTGAACTAAACCTGCGAGAAAAAAGTATTTTCTCCGAGCCATGGTTAAGCCCCTCGTCAAAATAACAACTTGGTCCACGAGCCGAAAAATGGGAAGAAAGCAATCAGCATTCTCAAAAGCAAAGGTTTCTCTTTGATTCTCAACGGCCGGCTCACTTTTCTTTTGTATTGTTGCTTTGTTCGCCCATTTTCACTCGATGGATTTTCAGAGGCATATCTGATCTCTTTCTGTGTGTCCAGATCATCCCATCCCCCATATCTAGAATCAGTACCTCGGGGATCGGCATCTCCTACCACCCATGACTTGTACCCTCCTGGGTTTACGCCAGCCACGCTTTCTTCTTGTCTAGTGTTGCTTGATCTTCCATAACTTACGGTTGCAGATCTTGGAACTATCCTTCTTCTGGTTCTTCTCATAGGTCTAATGCTTGGTCTACTCCAAGCCTTTTCAATCACAAGGGACAGTATGGATTGTACCAATGGAGCTGCTAATGCCATTAAACCCGCGTTTGAGTCTGTTCCTAGCAGCAAAGATATGCCAATGGGTGCAAGCATCCAACTAAAAGCCCTAAATACCTGCACAGAAACAATCTATCATAAACTAGGTTTCGTTGTGGCCATCCAGAATGGAACTCACCAATAAGATGAGGCTTTGAGCTCATGAAAGAATTTCTAGTCCTCCCAGAACCCAGATACTAAAGCAAGCTTTATCATCGATATCCATGTACGTGTTTCTTTATCAAATTCTGTCCAAAGTTCAGCCATTTTCTCTTCCAATAGCACCAATGATCATCAATCTTCATTCAGACGAACTCCAAGCTCAATGACATGGTCACTGAACTAAAAACCATAAAACTTCTTCCAATTCAAAATACAAAATCCTCAAGAATCATCCTCGTCATTTCAGATTTCTGGTAAATTAACTACATCTTTTCTGGATAAACTCACGAACCTTTTAGAGACACTATCACACAGAACCATACGTTAACTCAAACGGTAACTCTCTGCTAAATAATCCAAATCAACCCCTTGAATGAAAGAGGCTATGCCAATCTATTGCATTCCCTGGAATTTTCTCGTTTTCCGTGACTTCAAGAGATTTTCTTTCTCTTCAAAAGGCTATTATCCAAAAAGGACGATCAACTGTGAGATTTCTCGAACAGAAGAAAACAGTACCTCAAACCCCATAGACAGAAGCTCGCCATCATCGTCCTCCTCCAAATCATCATCGTCATCACCGTAGTCGGACCACCACATCCTCTTCTTCTCACTCTTCCTAAAATCGAAAGGATCGAAGCCTCCACGGCGGCGGAGCTCCTCCTCCGGCCGGAATTTGAACCGTCCACCGCCGGCGGCACGGCATTCGCGGGTACCGCGGCTCACAACGTCCCGCCACAGTAGCCTCTCTATGCTCCCGATGCAATATCCGCGATTAGGGCTCCCGAGGAGAGGTGAAGAAGACGAGAACCGAAGAAGAAGCAGATTCGCCATTGACAGTGGGTGACGATTATGATTAGTATTACCGTTGAATCCCAATTTCTACCAAAAATACTTTAAAAAATAAATAAATTTCTTGAAAAAAAAAACACCTTTCAATTTGCGTTTTTATTGTTAAAAGAAAAAGAAATCCAAAATTCAGAAAGGGGCACCAAGTATCCACTCGCTAAGCATCTGAGGCTGATTTCTTCGTCGGAGCATTGGGTGCTCCGGACACCGGAGGCGAAGTCATGTCCGGTTCTGGTAAAAACCCAGATCCTAAACCTGTCGACCCAACCTTATACCCTCTGAAAAGTCTCGATCTTTCCAGTTTCTCTGCACATAACAGCGATTTTTCGGCACATCAGATATCACAGATGATGTTAGGTAATGATGCATGTGAAAGAACTCGAAGGTGCGATCAAATTGAGTTCCTTAACAATTATCACAAAAAAATAACAATGACATTACAAAGAGCAAATAGCAACAACACAACCAGCAGCCTTTTCTCACCGGACATCCCCTGAGAACCCAACCGAAGACAAACCCCTAAACCCGGAAGAAACGCAGTAAAAAAAAAGGTTCAGGCCAATTATTATTATTATCATTCGTCCCTAGCTTGACCGGACCGGGCAGCAGCCTGGTCGCTGGCCTCTGCTGCAGAGGCAGACGACTGTTTCTTGTTCTTCTTGGTCTTGGCTTTCTTGGCTTTGAGCCTGCGCTTCTTCTCGGCCGCGTCCACCCATGTGTAGTCTTGCGGTATGAGGAAAGGGTCCACCACGTCATCCTTGTAACGGTTGCTGTCGCTGTCGCTTGACTGGCCGCCTCGATTGCCTCTCATCCACGAGATCCACGACGTCGAGCTCTCAGACTTTGCATCATGAAAAACCGGGCTTGACGGAGGAGTCGAGAACTCTTCAGCCGGCTGAAGCTCTTCGAATTTCGTGAATGTGACGAGAACCCGTATGGTTGGAACAATGGGGATCGCGAGCTGCAAATAAACAATGAGCATATATAACATGAGATTGGCCGGAAAATACGCTGCTCCCGGGGATTTACGGACGAGAGATCTACCTTAATGGGGAACATCCCGGGAGGAAGTTTAGTGGTGAGAAGCTCCCTGAGTCTCCTCACAGCCTTCACCTTGTTGGCTAATATGTCGAGAAGCGGAAGAAGCTCCTCCGTCTTAAGCGGGAAGTCGGGTGTTAACCATAAAACCGGTCTCAATCCCTTCTTGTATTCACTCTCGTGCTTCGCGCCCTCATCCGTTCCGCCCTTTTTCTTTTTCTTCTTTGCTACCCCTTTGTTGTCCTTCGCTTTCTTGGCTTCTCCTCCGACTTCTTCCTCCGATTTCAGGCTTTTCCCTTTCGGGTTGCTGTCTTCTGGTACTAATTTCGAGCCTTTCTTGAGTTTCGGATCCTCGGATTCATCCTGACCAGTTTTCGCGTTCTTTTTACTCCAGCTGAACCAGCTTTTCTTCTCCTTGACAGATCCATTATTAGCCTCTCCGGAACCGTTTTCATGGTAGTCAACGACCTCGTTCTCCTCATCGTCAATAGCATCGGAGCTCCCCATCCGAAGGGCGGAATCCAACTGCATTCTTTCCTCAGCCGTCAATACGTCTTCCAGGTCACCGTTCTCAGCGCCATTCGTCGCCGTCCTCTCTTCGTCAACAGCAAACAGTTCCTCGTCGGTCATTGCGCCCGGAACCCGTCTCGATTTCACGCTCACCATAACATGGAGCATGTCATAGACTTTCGCTTTCCAGTTCCCGACCATCTCCGTCCTCTCCTGCCGTCTCCAGTTCAAGTGAGGAACTAGCTCGGCCTGAGTGACGTCGATCCCGGGCCTATACATATTAGTCTGCGACATTAAAGCCACTTCCCGAGCAACCTCAGCTTCCGTCGGTTGGGTACCGGCTCCCTCCAGAGCGTTCGTCACTTCTTTCTCCTTGTGAGCAAGAACGATCAAGGAACCGGGAGGCAACGACATTTTCCCGTTATCAGATGAGTAACCCTCCCCTAGAAACAGAAAAGTCTGATCTGACCGCTGAATCCGGAACCCATCAAATCCCGCAAGAGTCATATCAGCACGGAGATTCGAGCCACGTTTCCATATCCGATAAGTATCCGAAGGGGCAATCCGGCTAATAAAGGGTATCACCGAGCTCTCAAAATGAAAAGTTATCTCCATGTAGAAATCACGGATACGGGATGCGGAGGCAACGATTCGGGGAAGCCTCCTACACCATTTCGCCCAAGCAAGAGGCTGATAATGCCGTGCAATTATCATAGCGATCGCCTCTTCTCTCGTGCAAACCGCTTCTTGGAGTGCACTCCAACCGTTCTCGTTCTGCAAACTCCAATCCGCGCCAGAAGACATCAGGATCTCGGCAGAGATCGGGTCTCGAAGACGAACAGCGAGATGCAACGGGGTCTCGCGGCCAGGAACATCACGGCGATCAATCACAGCCGAGATGGCATCAGCTCGAAGCTCGGCCTCGAGAGACTCTGCCTCGGTGGTAACCTCCCCGGCCATGGATACTCGAGGTAGGCCCGTCACTATTCGCCTTAGAGCCGCATGATCACGAAGAGCGACTGCGAGATGGGCAGGACTGTGCGTATACTTAGAGTAATCTTCCATCAGTTCCCTCCTCCTTCTTCTTCTTCTTCTTCGACTTCTTCTGCTTTTTAAGCTTTACTTCCTTCCATTTCCAGAAAATTTGCGAAACCCTAGAATTTGACGAACTGCTCTTTCACTGATTCTTCTTCCACAACTACGTGAAGAAACCGAAAAAGCTTTCTACTATGTTCAACCGGATCTTGTTCACCATGAACTCAGACCCTATTAGAATAAAGAAGAGAGGATACAGGTTTCAAGATAAAAAAGCAAAACCCTAGAAACCAGCAGTTCCTATATCTTCCTCAGCCGAAGATCTTCCTCAAATCTGAATCAAACCCTGAAATTCCCAGAGACAAAAGCCCATCAATTCAATCGGAA